TGTGTGCTAACACTGGTTCTGTGCGCATGGATTTTTTTTTCAAGGAGTCAGATTTCCTGTTTAAAGAGGAGATATCAAGCTCATTTTCAGGTTCATATCTGTATGTAGTGTCTCTACTGTGACATGTTTCCATACTTTAATGTTCAAAAAGGTCTTTATTTTTCTCATACTGCCTGTGCTGCTGCACCTCTTTTCAAACCTCCGTCTGAAACCAGAGCCCAGTCTGCTCTGATTGGTTAGCTGGCCAGCTCTGCTGTGATTGGTCAACCACTTAGAGATGTCCCGCCCCTTAGTGTACAGTGCACTAGCTAGTAAAAGCCTGCAGTGATGTCACTATGTTGCGGAAGTACACAAAGGAGTCTAATCAAGGCGTTTCAGGGGGGGGGGGGGGGGGGGTGTGGGAGAGAATATCCCTTTGGAGGGTTTTTGGCTTTTGCAGACCATCTACAAGCACAACAAGCTATATTACACACTACAGGAAAAGGAACCCCCAAAAAGGGGGCCTCTTTAATTATTAATTCATTATTGTTATTAATTAATTTGTTTCATTTCTTTTCTGAAGTGTTGGACTGAGATGATTCACACTGTCTCTCTGTTATTGTTTCATAACTTGGATGTGGATCAACAACTCACACACACACACACACACACACACACACACACACACACACACACACACACTGATTTGCATATAGAAAAAAAAGAAGCAGTTCAATGATTGATTGGGAAGTCTTTTTTGGGCAGCGCTGTAGCACTAGACTACAGCGCACAGCAGATGGAGGAAGTGGGAGGTTCAGGCTCTGAAGATGTGGGGGAGCTCCAGGGTTCACAGGTGCACCAACGACATTTATAATAGAGGAAGGAGGGCTGAGGCTCCGTCTGTACATGTGTGTGTTTCTATTTTTGCTGCTGGGACAGTCAGAAGGCCTGTCCTGGTGCGTCAGTGTGTAAATGGTGACACACTGACAGAGAAGATGGAGGGTCGCCCACTGCATCCTGGGACCTGGTCTGGCAAGTGCATAACACGACACAACTGCACATGATATATATATACAGTATCATATTTTGTTTTGGCGTTAGGTTTAAACATTCACTGATTTCATTTGCACCCCCTTGCAATCCTGCCATGGTGTGCAATACTAACTCTTTGATTACTCTTCAGATCATCAAGCATTTTATTTGTTCAATTTCAATTACGTTTTGGACTTTTAAATGTCATTGAATATGTGTGATATTGTATACTGTAGCTTCAATAAAGTGCTGAAACTCACAGATAGAGAACGTCTGAACAGAAAGGATACAAGACTGTGGTCAGACTGAATGCAAAATCTATTTTAAAGGCAGGATGGCTGCATACGAAGTCACTAAAAAGATGCATAACAAATTAGGCAGGGTGGACAAGAGTGTTGTCTTCTCATATGATCTCTTGATTATTTCTGGAGATTCAGGTCCAGTTATTGTCCAGAGTTTCCTGTCCCACAGATCTAGCACACAAAAAGGCCATTATACAGTATGTGTCAGGTGCGTTCTCACACTCTACTCCTTTTGATTTTGGTTACTAGGTAGAGTGTGCTGCAACATGGAAACGTCATCAACATGGTAACTCGCATATTGTAAATTCTGCAAACAATGAGCGGCTCTATTCAAAGATGAGCTCAAGTGGGCATTAACAGTAAAGTCTGCTCAATGTCCGGTCCAACATTTTCTGACAATTTGTGTCCTTACATACAGCTCTGCCTGCAATGATTGGATCATTTCAGAGTTACAGTGTGAATGGAGCTAAAGAGTTGTACGCGCTAGTTGAAAGCTGCGTATCCTGGGAATTTATTAATCTGATTATAAACGTACAGAGATTAAAGAAAGAAGGAGTGGAAACTGAGAGATTGTTCTATTTCCAGATGCTGAGAAGCTCCACTTTATCACTTGTTCATGCACATTAAAGGTAGGGTAGGTAATTTTGGAGAAACCAGCTCGAGTGCGCTAGAATCTGAAAATACACAACCGGAAAAAATCTGCCACTTCCTTACAGAGCCCCTCCTCCAACACACACGAACGCGCACATGACCAATAAGGGCACGAGATAAGTTTGTGCACAGATGGAAGGCTGACAGGCAGGTAGGCCATCTTGCTTTTTACAGTACCACGGCTTCCACAGATGACATTTTTTCATTGATTTTTTGTCAAAGCACTTAAGATATTCATTGCTATCGGGATGTTAAGAGCATTCTATGGAATATAACAAAAAGTGTATCTCGAGCCGGTTTCTCAAACGTACCTACCCCACCTTTAATTATATCTTAACCTTCACCTTTAAGGCAATCAGTCTGACTTTCTGAGGAAATGTAACCTATTTTCTTTCAATGAGACAACTTTGAAATAAGCAATCTTTCACAACAAGTCTCCATAGTCATTACTGTTATAATTGTCCCTGCATGTCCTCCTTCGCCCTCTGACGCAGCTGACCAGCCTTAAGGAGGGGCTGCCCTAGCATATTGTTGATGTTGCCAGTTTATGACCAGGCAACTCTCTGTCAGAGATAGTTATTGTTGTGGGACACCTGGAACACATCCTTCTCGGGGTTCCCGAGCCATAAGCGACAACAAATGTGATTCAGTGTCCTCAGCTGTTTAGTCTATCTATTGAAGAATGTTGATTATTACACTCTGAACTAGTTAAAACCTCGAGCTACAGGAGGGTTCTTCAGAATTGTGGCATCTCAACCGTGTGGTCAACTCGTGACATGACGTGTGAATTCTCCGGCCGAAGCTCCAAATAAACCGTCAGTGTTTGCCATCAAAGCTCCAGCTCTCCTCGTGTCTCTCTGAGTCCTGACTCCAATTGCTTCAGAAGTTTCCCCCACAATTACAATAAGTGCTATTTGACATTACAGCCCAGGTTTAACCCCACCTAAATAGGGTCATCCACTCTAATCTCAACATGCCCTGGCAGTGTTTATCCACATGCGACCTGAGAGGTGTTTGTGCTGCCGTTTCGTCTGATATTGAGTGAAACAGAAGTGTGAACAGGCTCCGTCATAGAGATTCTCACCTTGTCCTAAACGCTATATCTCAACAGGGATTGTATCTGAAAAGGGTTCAAACAAGGACCCTTTGCTGTATGTATTCTCTTTTTTGATTGCTTTGCTGTGAATAGTGTTTTGAGGAAGATGAATCAGTGTCAGCCGGCCTCTCTGTTCTTGCCCTCTCTGTATTTGGTTTTGTGTTTCTCTTCTCTTGTTCCTCTTCCGTTCTCATATTTCTGCCTCTGACTTTCTCTGACTATGCAGTTTCGTGTCACTCATGTGAATGCATTGTCTCCTCTAAAGGGCACAGTAGGATATTGTATAGTGTCCATTGCTGCTGTAGGAAGAAAAGCTATACTGTAGCCGATAATACACATAACAGAACATAATACGTCAATGGAAATAGACTGTTAAATTAAACCCAAGGTCTCCTGATTGTTATATCAGTAACTGAAGGTGTGTGTAAAATAGTTAGCAATGTCATTTGTGAAAAATAGGAGATCTTTGAATGTTAATATAACTGTTTCAATCTCAAAAAGTGTGTAATCTGTACTCTGAAAAGCTTGCCCACGTCTTGTATTTACTTGAGTATCCCCACACCCTCTGTATGTGACCTCACTTTATTTCAACATTTTACGCATTGGCAAAAATATGTTTAGATAGATTTAGTGACCTTTCATCCCAGCAAGTCTAGCTGTTTCCCCACATTTTCAGACGTGGTGCTACTGTAAGTAAAGCTACCTGGTATTTCGAGCCTCTAATAACCTCTCGGAAAGAAGGTTTATAAATGTAATTCCCAAAATGCTACTGTTAAAACCCTTTCTATTGTTTTCAAGAAGGATGACAATCAGCTAAACTGGCTTACTGAATTGTCTGGACTGTCATCTGACCTTATCATGTTTACCTTTGCATCCAATGAAATTATGATTTTTTTTTCACGCTGAAATCATTAATCAACATAATTCTCTAATATGTTGCACTTCTATCCTCTTATTTAGCTGAACAGCATGCGCATAGTTCAGAGCTGAATTTATCTCTTGTAACCAAACCAGTTATGGCCTCATGTTGTTTTATGCTCAGCCTCAGCCTTGTTTGCATCTACCTTATGGTTGCAGTTAAATCTAAATAAAGACTTCATTAAAATATGTTTTTTATGAGTCTTTTGGGGCAGACGCAGCTTTAAGCAAGAGCCGTGCTCACTGCCAGGATGCCAGGCCTGTTTCCTCTCCTACTCACTGTAACACCTGACAGTACTTTACATTAATTTAGCTTATTTTTAAGTTCAAATGTAATTGTATTTACAGTATGCTTAATGGTACAACATATGTACAAAGTAGAGATAGAATTGGAGGGATGAAGCCCTCTTTAATGGTCACACATGCAGAGCACACAGCACACACAGTGAAATGTGTTCTCTGCTTTAACCCATCCTACTAGCAGCACTAGGTAGGTATTCATATATGAGGAAGGGTCAGGTTTTTGCACAGCATTGCATGACAATGGCTTCTTCCTTCTTCAGCCTTTCCTTTGCTCACACCTCGTCTCACTGCTTGCTTTGTTCTGCTGCAGAAATCTCTCAAAGCTTTCACAGGTGGCTGCAGCCTTGATATGAATATTTAATAGTCCCCATATATCCCCCTTGAGGATGGTGAAATATTAAAGTACTTTTTGGTGGCTGTTCTAACTTCTCGGATGCTCCAAAGAATGTAATTCCTGTTTGGAAGGGAAACACATTGTGACACTGTCAAAACGTTTTCATTGTATAATGTGCAATGTTACTTCCTGCTTTAGGCAGTGTCGATTTGTGTGACTGTGCACATACATGTGAATGATCTGCTGGAGGTTCATTCATTGAATCTGTGAATATGCAAATATCGAGATGGTTAAGATCTGAAAGGAAGTAGCTGGTTTTCTATTTTCTATCCTTCTCTCTTTATTGTCCCTTAAACAAGTACATTATGAATCATTTCTCTTTCAGCGGGACGCCAAGGGACAGTACCTGTTCGACGTGATCTGCCACCATCTCAACCTGCTGGAGAAAGACTACTTTGGCATTCGATATGTTGATCCAGACAAGCAGAGGGTAAGGATTCTATTTTCTCTTTCATTTGTTCAGTTTGAATCAATTCATTTTAATGCGTGACATTGTGACATATCATCGTTTGCATCTCTCTGACATCTTTCTTTCCTCCTTTCATTTCCGGTACTTTTCTTCGGTCCCATTACTCTCTTAAAACTACTTCACCCAAACTGCATAATTTGCCTGAATGAATTATAGCAAACCATAATGTGCACCAAAGGTTCACAGAGAAAATCACTTAGTCTGTAAAAAACATTTTAATGTGTTCAAAGATAATCTAGCGTTGTGTTTAATAGGCTGGAGTTCATTTTGAGGATGATCGCACTCTTCAAATGTTAATCCTAAAAGGTTGAATGAAACCCTGTGCAGCAATGGTGGCACATTATCTCAGTCAGTCTTGACCATCTCTACTTTAGGAATCTGTAGATCACCTGGAGGAGCTGATATTGTCTCACAGGCAGTGATGGATGTGTAAGGTAATACATGCCAGGTCTTACTCATCTAGTGAGTCTTTTTTCTCCTCTAGATAAATTAATACATGCAGGACAGGTAGGTTAGTCTGCAGGTCAATTATGCAAGCTGGCAAACGGCCATACTCCTCACTCAAAAAGGAATATCTATCACAAAAATCAACACAGTCCTTTGTGGAATTGCATTGCTGACCAATTATTTGTCAATTATTGCAATATGGACTGTGGCTGGGATTAAAAAATGCTTTCAAGGCTTGAAGTTGTTTTCTAAAATGCAAAGGGGATCTGAAGAGTGGATGACAGACCTGTTATGAAAATGTGAAAGCAGGTTAAAAGTTAATAATTAAAAGCAAACAGCATCGTTGTGTTTTGCAATGACTGCGAGCGCAATGCACCATTATTCTCAGCGTGTCATCATCTCACTGATTAGAGTTTGGTCTCTCGATGTTTAGCAGTCTGACGGAGAACAGCAGTCTCCTGATTATCCTTCATCGCCTCCCTGCATGGAGACGCTGTTGAAGGGGGTGTAAATGAAAAGGAAGCAAGGAGGTGAAAGTACTTCCACTGTGCCTTCCTGCTATGGATTACACATCCTCATGCTCAGCTGCTGAGCAATCAGAGTTCAGGCTGAGAGTTGAGCACCCACAGAGTCTTTGTCCAGGTCTTTACCTCTCTCTCTTTCTCTCTCTTTCAGCATTGGTTGGAGTTTACAAAGTCAATTGCCAAACAAATAAAATGTAAGTATATCATTTGACATACCTAATTAGTTGGTTAAGTAAAAAACATACACGAATAAATGTGATTAATATACTCTGCAAACATTTCCGAAACAATGGGCCACCAGTCCTACCAACCAAATTAAAAACAAAGCATTTCATTTTAAATGTTTGTCTTTCTTCCTCAGCCCAGCCTCCGTTCACCATGTGTTTGCGAGTCAAGTTTTACCCACCTGACCCCGCTGCCCTGAAAGAGGAAATCACCAGGTAAGATTTCAGGATCGCATGATGGGCTGCAGGTGTGGTTAAGTCAAATGTATATCTGATTTGATTTACCTCTCTCAACTTTCGTTATCCCTCACTGATTAAGTCGCAAAGGTATTTTTTGTTCCCAATAGCGTTATACCGACCATTTAATACTATCTCATTATACAAAAGGCAGTACAGTCGTTGAGTGCTCCACTGAATTAGCATTGCAATGCTGTTTCATGTATTGTATCAGGCTCACAATGGTGAGTAGTTTTATTTTTATAAAATCAATGCAGCAGAACTAAAGAAATTGTCTTTTTAATTCTATCGATTCTCCTTAACTGGCCAAACTCTGCACTTAAATCCCCAACAATGCAACTTAACCACAGAGAGCTCAGCAATATTGTTCTGGTGTTATGCTAGCTGCTAATGTAGCTTTGAGCCACTTGCCACTATTCATTTCTAAGAGGTTGAGTAAGCAAACAGTTTTTTGAATCAAAAGGTCCAATAACATCAGCAATAATTAGCAAACCATTCAACAGGCAACCAGGACATCCTTTAACACTTCTGATAATGTTTTTCATTGTTTGACCACTCACTGGTAATATCAACAGTAATGTGGAAAAAGAGATGTCTATTTTAAAACAGAAGTTCAACCCAGTTGGCCCGTTATTCCTTTTACTCTCAACCTGGGACAATTACATACATACAATAAAACATGTCGGCCGTTATAACCAGGATGTAAAATGCTGACATAATAACAACAACAACTCCGTGGCACTTCAAGACAGATTTTATAAAACCAAAGGGGATGTCTCTGTCTTCTGCCTTTCTATTCATTTTCTTGTTTCATAAAACCAGATCAAAAGGTTTCTTATTCTTAACGGTTATAATTGAATGCCTCTGCAGCACTCTTTTAGATATTTAAAATATATATAACTACAGCCTGTTAGAAGTTTTTATGAATCGTATTTGCTTTAGTCTGAACAGATAATCCTTTCAATAAATGCTGCTTTATGTAACCTCCTAACTTAATTGAGTAAAACAATTAAATGTAATAGTTTTACAATAAATGTTCAAGGAAAATTAAAATCTCTTTTCAGTTCGCCGTCTTCTCTAGTGAAATTACTATTCCAGGTCATCTGAACTACACTATTTTAAAGAGTGTTCATATTTGTATTTTGTGCCTCTACTGTGACATGTTTCCATATATTTTAATGTTAAAAAGTTATTTATTTTTCTCATACTGCTTGTGCTGCTGCACCTCTTTTCACCCTCTGTCTGAAACCAGAGCCCAGTCTGCTCTGATTGGTTAGCCGGCTGGCTCTGATTGGTCAACCGCTTAGAGATGTCCCGCCTCTTAGCCTATCACGTTCAATGTGTTGGAGCGTTAGCCAATAGAAGAGCAAGTGTTACATAGTGATGTCATTATATCACAAAATAAATCAAATGAGTCCAATGCAGGTATTTCAGGCAGGGAGAGAAAGTGCTCTGGAGGGAACTTTAGGATTTAAGCCTACACACTACAGGAAAGGGGAAACCCCACATTTTTTAATTAATCTTCATCATGGGTCAATGCAATAATGAAGGTACAAGAACACAATAAAAACACTATATCCATCCCAACAGTGAGTCTTAGTGCGGGGGGGGGGGGGGATTTGATTATTTCCGTACAGTAAGCTGCAGTCATGAAGCTCTTCACTACTTCTCTAGTGTGTGTGGCGTCCTTGACAGCTGAACAAACTGCTGTGAGAGTGAGGAGTGAGTCTGAGAGCTTCCAAGCGCATGGATCCATGTAAATCGCATCCATCTGCCACACCACGCAGTGAAATCTCTCTTTCGCAATCTAGCTCTTTTTGATTGAGCCTGCAAGGGACCCTTCCATCCTCCTCCATCTGTTCTGAGTGGAAACCCTCACATGAAATGGCATTCAAGCATAAACATATAGAGTATAGGTCTTCATGTTGCTTTTAGATATTAATATATCGTCATTTTACACCAAGGTGGCGGCAGGATGTAAAACGGTTCAATCATGCCGCCCATAGCAATATTTTTTACCACTTTGCTATTTATTGCTTTGCTGCTTGGAGAAAAGCAGAATCTCAGGCGTTTGAAATGATTGCTTAGCGGTAAAATTGACATATGAGTAATCTCTGGATGTTGAGACCCGGTGAGTGAGTCGCTCCCAGTGGACTTCAGTGCAAACCAGCAATCATATTTTAGATCACGGTCAATTCTCATTGATTATGCTTTAGCCCAAGTTCTGCCTCGAGGTTGGCTGCATGTCCTGTGTCTAATGCTCCAATAAGAAACTTTTGATTGCCAATCATATGCTTTGTAATTATAGAGTCATTGTTAGTTGGTTAGACGAGGGGCTCTAGACTAATGGCAAGGTACATTTATTTATATAGATGAGTAACACATGCGTCACTTCCGGGCAAAAATGACGGCTCCGCCCACTTTTGGGGGAAAACAAAGCTGTCATTTGAACGGCGGCCAATTCAAATTCTGAAGTTTTTGCCAATCCGATAAAAAAAAAATGTAAACCGTGGATTTTTGGATCTTCAAAGAGCCCGATTACAACGGCCAGACAGGTAAACAGTTACATTCAATCATTGGAAATTGACGAGCGGGCTCGATATATGGTTCAATATAGCAGTAGGCGATCGATGTCCATAGATGAGAGTAACATCTACGTCACTTCAGGGCGAAAATTATGGCTCCACCCACTTTTGGGGGAATCAACGCTGTCATTTGAATGGCGATCAAGCCTGAAGCCACAGAGCTCTTCTGTTACTGTCCTTTCTTCTTAGAGGAAGTACAGAAACACGTAACTCTGGATTTGTTTTAATGTTTGAGGTGCAATAAAGCAGCTTTTTGGCATGATAAAACTATTTTGTTCTGCCTCGCTCATGAGAGTAACAGCTGGCGAAATGACGGCCTTGTCTACTGATTTTAATTTAACCATATATCGAGTCCGATCGTCGATTTCCAATGATTTAATGTAATTGTTTGCCTGATTGGCCATCGTAATCGGGCTCTTTGAAGATCCAAAAATCCATGGTTTTCTTACATTTCTGATCGGATTGGCAAAAACTGTAATTTTCGCCCGGAAGTGACGTAGGTATTACTCTCATCCATAGCAACTTTCAACACAAGGCAATTCAAAGTGCTTTACAAAAATGAAAAACATTGAAGGTCTCCTATCATGCAAAATGCACTTTTTTATGTCTTTTATACATAAATATGTGTCCCATCAGAAAAGTAGCAATCAATGCGCGACGTGTTTTGTTTTTTGTTTTAAAGCTACGGACCCAGAATCAGCACTTCTCTAACAGGGCTGAAATAGAGGGATTTGAGGCAGGGCTAAAATGGGTGGTCTGTTTGGTATTTTGAGCAAAACACTTCATAGACATGTTTTTTATATATCTGAGACCTATAATATATGCCTAAAAATACTATAATAGGAGACCTTTCAGAATGGTTTTGTCGCTAGCTGCATTTATTTTACATTTTACTAGCTTATCTGTAATAACCACAGATATCAAATCTAAGGAAGACACACGTCACCAGTTTCAAAATGTATCATATAGCTTTCTTTATTTTCATGATTTCTTCTGGTGACAATCTCATTGACAAACCTGCAGCCTCAAGGGACACTTTACCTTTAAACCGAAATATCCACCGTTTCCGTCCACATTGATATTATCTAAATAATGACCCAAATCAGTTTATCTGTGTTCCACTCCACAGATATCTCGTCTTCCTGCAGGTTAAGAGGGATCTCTACCATGGCCGCCTCCTGTGCAAGACATCCGACGCTGCTCTGTTGGCTGCCTACATATTACAAGGTATCAAGGCAATCATTATAGATGTATTCATCTTAAAGTTCACCTATTATACAAAATCCACTTGTTCATGTCTTTCATACATCAACTCTGTGTAAAGAGATTCTAAAAGTTTCAGGAAAAAAGATTTGCAGACTTTTTGTCCTGATCCATTTATATAAAAACCTGTCTGAAAATTAGCTGATCAGATTTTGGCCACTTTGTGATGTCATAACGTTTCTTTGGCTTGTGTAACCATTAGCCAATCACCAACCAAGGTAACCCCGCCCAACTTATCACCTGAATCTCCTGCTAGAGCACCATTGTGTTCTTTTTAACCAAATGTCTCTCAGAGGGGCGTGGGGAGTGGCTCCTTATTTTCATCTAAAGTAACAGACTTTTGAAACAGGGCTGAAACAGAGGGGATTATGGGATGCTGCAATGATCTGTTTGGTGTTTGGAGCCAAACACTTCAGAGACATGTTTTGTATATATCTGAGACCTCTAATATATTGATGAAAAACAGTATAATAGGGGACCTTTAACTGTCCTCATACAAGGCTGACATCGCAGTGTCATGGTGTCCTCTCTGACATATTCTAAAAACATATTAGATCCCACACAGAAATAAGGCGATTAAATATTATTGTTAACCAACCTCTGCTTCCAAAGATGGAATTGCACGCTAAACTAAAACTGTAAATACATTTCAGAGGTTTGTTTACCACTTTTGATGTATATTATTCAATTTTGTTACAATCTACTGCAGACGTTCTGATTGCCAAATGAGCCTGGCTTGTTAATTAACAGCTGTGTTTTATTTGTCTATATGCTCACATTCTGTTATAGTAAATGTACTTTGCAGTGTGGGTGTGAGCAAATTTGCAAGCAGAGCGTGTTCAGAGGTTAAAGATAATGTTTGTTTGATGTAGATTTTTAAATCTGAATTGGTTGTTTTTACCTTAAAGTAAAACATTTAAATGTAATAAGCTCTTTGCACCACAGAAAGCTATTAAGACAGAAGTGTTACTTAGTGTAAATATTCTTTGAACACCACAATACAATGAGCAGGTTTTTAGAAGACATTGGGTGATTGCTTGTTGTACTGTACATATCTATGTAAGATTATATCGATTTATTCATCTTTTTATTTACACCATAAGAGCATATTGTGAAAACTTCAGCTGGGGCTAACTGAAGGCCTTTTTGTGTCAGTTTTTACAGTAAGGACAATCTGCTTGTCATTTTGTCTCCTCATGACTCAGTGTTTTCACTTTGCCTGGACAAACAAGTGGCAGTCTGAGTTTTCCCTTTCTGTAAAGCTTTCCCACCAGGTGTCTCTTGCTCATAAAGGCACTCGACAGCACGTCAGAAAATGTGAATCCATAATGTCAGTTACACATATAAACTGAAATGTTTCTGGCTCTCAAAAATCCATTTCCAGCAGTAATGCTGCCAGAGCAGTACAGATCTCCCCAGAGAGCAGACATGTAGCCAAACTCCTCCGCTGCTCTGTTCCTCCACCATCAGTGAACGGATGTCAGCGGTTTGTAAGCTAGGCTGCTGAAGCTGGCCATAGAATAAAACTGGCAGGTATTTATGATGGTACCAATTGGCCAAACAAATAAGTACTGCATGGAATCAAGGTTGCATTTTGTTTGTTTTTGATGTGCCCCATGTGTGCCCAGGTGTATTCAAAACCTTGACTTAATGTTCTTTGTGAACAAATGTGTGTAATGTGGGCTTTGGTTTGGACAAACACATACAAAGACTAAAGTGGCAAAATGCTCCTTGGTAAAGTAATTGAATACAAAGATAAAAAATGACATACATTTCAATATAATCATTTCTGATTGCCTTTTCATGCTAAAAAACGTGTTTGACATGAGGTTGAATCTTTGAAAAGAAATGAATGATTACAGTCAATCTGAGAATCATCAGCCCAACATTATCATTTGCTCATTGCAGAAAATATTTGAACATTCGGATCATATTTTATGTTCACATATTGTTGCATTTTGTACTTCTTCTAATACTTGCAACCAGAGCCATTCGATTTGGGAAGACAATCACATTTGTAAAGACATAAGTGGATTAAAAAGTCATCATAACTTTTACTTTTTTACTTTTCTCCAGCTGAAATTGGCGACCACGACCCCGGCAAACACCCAGAGGGCTACAGCTCCAAGTTCCAGTTCTTCCCTAAGCACTCTGAGAAGTTGGAGCGGCGGATTGCTGACATCCACAAGACTGAGCTGATGTAAGGTGACACTTGTCCATGCCCCTGTCTTCCTGTGCAGTCCTTCACTTCCACAGCAGCCACAGTACAGAGCATCACTGAACACACACCTCACAGTTGGTGCTGCAGCCTGAACTCTTACAGAGCATCTTAAATTCATAGGTCAGAAATCCCTCAAAGACTGTGCTAATGCATTATTTACACTTGATAGACAATATGCCTCGGATCTAGAAATGTTGTTACAAATTAGCCAACATTTTGTCAAAGGTTTTTAATCAATTCACATTCACTCACACAAACGATGACTCCTTTAAAGGAAAGGTCAATAACCCACGGTTTGTGGACCTTTGTCGCCCATTTCACTTCAAAATCAAAAACCACACATTTGAACGCCTGAAATCTGCTCACACAGGTTATTCCGGTAAACCATCATGCTTTGTTTAAGGTCAACATTGGTTCAAACCCACTTCTCCCTCCAGTAGTAGTTGGCGTTTCTCATGCAGAATACAGTTGCTGTTTTAGCTTTACGAAGATGCCGTTTTGGATACACTTATGACCGTTAAATTCGACACGCAGAGGATGTCCATTGTCTCAGTTGCACTTTGCTATTAGAGTTGAGCCTTTGTCTAATGCACACGACCATCACCCAAGGTTATGGGTATTTCTCAGTAGTGGTGTAGAGTATAACGTTTCCCTTAATAGTGACACCATTTTGCTTTGAGAAGATCCAAAGCATTCAATTCCTGACCCTGGAGCAATCTAACAAATATAGTTGTTCTTCCCCTGCCTACATGTTGAATAATTGAAAACGTGAATGTTTCCAATCAATAGAGTTCCCAGATTTATATTATTTTCTTTCTTGAGAACTTCTTAGTTTGTGATGTTACAATTGCAAAATGCTGTTTGATCTAATGATATGTGTGTATACATGATAACCATGCCTTAAGATACAGTAGACATTATTGATATTTAATGTTGTGTTTTGATTTCCTCTAACCAAAATACCACATTTCACACACATTTCCAGGCTACTTAAGTAGTATTTAGTATTACATTCTGTGCATTTGAGCATCTTTTTGGTGCTGTGTTGTTTAGCAGACATTGCCTTCACACTCTCTGTAGACCTGCCTACTCGCTTCTGCAAAACAAGTCACTGAAATGTTCATGCACAGGTTCAGTACAGTCCATGATGCTTCACATGCCTGGCTATTGACAGCAGCAGACAACAACATCCTTCAGACTGCAGCGTTTGGCCGGCTGGGTGAATAAGGATGTGTTCCCTTATTGGTGGTGGCTATAGTTCAAAGAGTCTAGGAACATGTTGCCACAATTGAATCTCCAAGGATCGGATGTCAGAAGTAGTGCAAATAAAAGGCAGTGTTATCAAGTCTATGGTTTTATAATTTATTTATAGAGAAGTTTCTTGATTCCTTTCCCAAGTTTGTGCTCTCTTAAAACACTTTGGTAGATGTTAGGCTGCTGCCATGTCCCCTCCTTTAACAGTAAAAGGTCAGGTGTAATGGCTGGGGCCTCCGATTGGTCTCACTATACTGTTAAACACCTGCACTTTTGAAAGAACATCAATAACATTCATCTGTTTGCAACTTATATATATATCAATATTCCAATTACTTGTATATAGACTATTCTGCACTGTTTCTATTATATTCTATTTTATTTTATTTACTTGCACTATTATCTGTTTTATTGTTGTTGCACTGTTGGAGGAGCCTGTGGCCTAAGATTTTCATTGTCATAACTACACTGTAGCTATGCACAAATGAGAATAAAAGCCTTGAATCTTGAAAGAAAACTATACAGCAGGTGATGACCAGGGTGATGGATGTGGTCCCCAGTCATTATCTTTAAAATGGTTAGCAAGGGATGACTACCTTTTTGGATTTTCAGCATGGTAGTTATGTCATTCCATTCTCTCCTAGTGCAGTGTTTGTTTTATGCTCAGGGACTGATGTGAATTTATAGTGGCGGTCAGGTTGAGTTAACATTGCTTTGCTTCCTTGCCCTTAAAGTGGGAGACAGCCAGACAGAGCATGCCAAGGTCAGAGCCTCCTGTCCCAGCAGGTACACACAGTGAGGCTGTCAGACTCCTCCAGATGATGCCTTCATGGGTGATGGGATAGGGTAAACCCAGGTGGGCAAAGGCACCGCAAGGTCCTGCACTGCCCTCTATAGGTCATTGCCTCCATGTTGTCTGGAACAATCAGATATGCATCTCCCAATAGTTTACTGTCAGCGAAGTAACAAACTACACCTGGAAATTGAAAATTCATCACACTGCTGGCAGAATGATAAACTAGGGTAGAATAGGAAACCATGTGCTTGTTTGACAGAGAGTAAATGTTTCGACTTACAATACAATACAGCTTTATTTATAAAGCACTTGAAAACCTCCAGACCAAAGTGCTGTACAGTCAAATAAACAAAACATACAAAGAATCACACAGTACAGCTCACACACCATAAAACAAGTACAAGTAAAAAAACAATAGACAATTTAAATGCAATAAATCAACAATCTAAAAGATGTCAATACGCTAAGGAGAAGAGACTTCAGCACATTTATCAAAAACAGTACGCAGTTCAAATCAAATGATGATGAAATAGAACAACACAGTAATAGTTTGACGTTGGTTGTGAATGCGAGTTAACTGGCTTATTGTTCTTGTCTCCAGAGGTCAGATCCCTGAAATATCAGAGCTCAACTTCCTCCAGAAGGCTCAGAACTTGGAGACGTATGGAGTCGACCCTCATCCATGCAAGGTGTTTGTTTACAAAAACATATATCTATTCTGGAAATATGAGCTTCTGCTTTCAATGAGTCTGTGTTGAATATAACATTCATGCAATGAGTTGTTGTTGTTGTTGTTGTTGTTGTTGTTGTACGTTTTTTAAGTTAATGTGAGATCAAAGTCGAGCATGGAATTGATATAATTGTTATTTTACTGTCTTCAAGTGTCTTTCTTTATCAACTAGGACATTTACAAGAGAAAGTTATTTCACTGTGATTTTAAAATTGCTTCTCTATAGTAATAATACCTTTTTTTTGGTTCATGTGTCTTCAGGATGTGTCCGGGAACCCAGCTTTTCTGGCGTTTACTCCTTTTGGATTCACTGTGTTGCAAGGAAACAGGAGGGTCCATCTCCTCAACTGGTGAGTTCAGATGAACTGGACAAAAGGATACATTCTGTATGTGCATGCCAACATTCATGAGGAGGACTTTGTAGTTGTTTGTGTAAAGATGAAGTAGTTTCCCAAATCTCCATATGGACTATTTTAAGTACAAAGCGGAAATAACGAAATATATAAAGCGGCAATGAGAACATACATCTTTGCAGCTTTTCAGTAGTGCCAGAAAACTTCCAAACATTTGTTTTAATATCTTCTAAATGTAGTCTCAATCCTGCAGGAAAGAAATGTAATAAAACACCGCTCCCTATCAGGTATTAAAGTATCCTCCAATATATCATGATTCATGTGCAAGCACTGGACGAGGAGTCCAAATGAAACAAAGAGTAACCAGTGATCAGTACAAAGGATATTAGTTACAGCTGAATCAACCAACCAGTAGTTTGGAGTGGTGTTGTTGTAGAAATATTATATTTCCTAATATCTATCAGCTTATTCTTGGCATTTTCTGTGATTGGTAACATATTGTCGAGATTGTTGAAAACTGAAATGAATTACTGTTGGCCTTGGGAATTCGCCTCTAGCCTTTATTAATATTTTAACACTTATATCCATTTCTGCATCTCCCTTCTTTCTGCTTCCATTGCTGTTTTTGTTCCTCTTGTTTTCACTTTCTCACTTCGTCTTCTTTTGTTTCCATTTGTTTTCATTTCCCTCTTTGTCTGTCCATACTCTGTTTTGTCTGTCTCTGTACCTCAAACTCAGGGAGGAGGTGACCAAACTCAAGTTCGAAGCAAAGACATTCCATGTATATGCAAATCAAACGGAGGTATGTGCATGCATTATTAAAACTTTCAATTTTCTAGCCTGTGGAGCTCATGGAGTTTAATTAGTGTGGCCTTTTTTTATTCATGGGGACACAGCCAGTGGGGAGACAGTGTAATCTATCCTTAATAGTGAAGTAAATGGGAAGTGATTGTGCAGAAGTGTTAGCCCTGGGTTTGAGCAGAGGAAAATGCAAAGTAAAGCCACTGGCCGTTTCTCAATGTCGAGTATACCTGCTGCAGAGCCACTATTTCAAGTATACTACGTCATCGAGTGGCGCCAAAGGACTGTTTAAATGCATGTTAAATGCCCAGCATTCGGCGCCACTCGATGACATAGTATACTTGAAATAGTGGCTCTGCAGCAGGTATACTCGACATTGAGAAACGGCCACTGTCTGAGAGTTGGTATTTAAAATGTGTGCTTTGATTGATCAGTTATAATGCACTGTGGCCATTAGCTCAGTTAATTAGACAGGAAATGTCCTCTTGATGACAGTCATTATCACCCCATGGAGTCTGATTGAAGTAAAATGTAATATATATGTAAATATGAGTTAATGTACTGTACATGTTACAGGATAAGAAGATCATACTGACGTTCTTTGCACCCACACCTGAGGCCTGTAAGCACCTGTGGAAATGTGGTGTGGAGAATCAGGCCTTTTACAAGTGAGTCACAGCACATAAGACACAACACGGCATAGAGTACACAATGTTTATTATTATGTAAATTATGTTTTCTCTTTCCCTTTCCTTACAGGTTGGAGAAGTCAAGTCAAGTCCGCACTGTGTCCAGTAGCAATCTCTTCTTCAAGGGTAGCCGCTTCAGATACAGGTATTTAATTGCTCCCAAAATATTGTTGATACATTTTATGAAGAGGTTATGATTATTAAGTATTTATATATTAAGGACAGCTTTGAGTTGCAGTGCTTGATTTATGTTTATGAATTCACATCTATGTTTTCTCAGTGGAAAGGTTGCAAAAGAAGTGATGGAACAAAGTGCCAAAATTAAGAGAGACCCTCCCGAGATACACAGGTCAGAATCCTTATAATAAATCTTTATCTTCATAACTATGGACTGACTCAGCATGTGACGGAGCCCACGCACAATAAGGGGCACACTCTGGACTTAATTATCTCAAAGGGTCTGAATATCTCTAAGGTTGTGGTGACTGATGTTGCACTCTCTGATCATTCCTGTGTGTTCTTTGAGAGCTCTATTTCCGTTCACAAAAATGTCCAAAAAGAGGTAACCACAAAGCGATGTTTAACTGAAAATACTAGGGAAATGTTTACTCAGAATTTTTCTTCCACACTTGCCCCTGTTAACATCTCAGTAAATGAGCTAGTAGATCATTTTAATTCAAAAATAAAAAATGTTATAGATGCCATTGTTCCAACTAGGTTAAAGGAAGTGACTGGGAAGAAAATATCTCCATGGAGAAAGGCCATGAGCGTGAGAGCAGAAAAAAGAGAGTGTCGAAAAGCTGAAAGTAGGTGGCGAAAAACAAATCTCCAGGTTCACTTTGAAATCTATAAAGAGAGACTTGGCCTTTATAATTTGGAATTGAAAAACGCACAACAGTCTTTCTTCTCTGACATCATTACCAAAAACAAAAACAATGCACGTGCCTTGTTTGCTACCGTCGACAGACTAACTAACCCCCCAGTGTCAGTAGCCTCTGAATTTCTATCCACCAGGGCGTGCAATGATTTTGCCTCCTTTTTCACTGACAAAATTCAGAAAATTAGACAAGCAGTCAGTGCCTCTGCATCAGGTACAGCAAATGTGTTGTCCCTATGTCCACCTAATATCAATTCAAACACCATGAGACAATTCCATCAGATTAATGATAAAAACCTAGAGGACATTATTCAACTTCTGAAATCCTCCTCCTGCTGCCTTGATATTATTCCAACAGGGTTTTTGAAAGATGTTTTGCCTTGCCTCAGATCTACTTCATATAGTAAACAAATCTCTTCACTCAGGTATTTTTCCACAGGCCCTGAAAACTGCAGTCATTAAACCGCTCTTAAAAAAGAATAATCTAGATGCTTCAGTAATAAACAATTACAGGCCCAATATCAAACCTCCCATTTCTAGGTAAAATCATTGAAAAAGTTGTTTTTCAACAGTTGAGTAATTTCTTGCATTTAAATAACATGTGTTCCAGTCAGGCTTTCGTCCAAACCACAGCACTGAGACTGCTCTTGTAAAGGTCTTTAATGACATCCACTTAAACACAGACAGTGGCAGAACTTCAGTGTTAGTATTATTAGATCTCAGTGCTGCGTTTGACACTGTTGACCACAACATATTACTCGGCCGACTAGAAAACTGGGTGGGACTTTCGAAAACAGTTCTAAATTGGTTTGAATTCTACTTAAAGGACAGAAACAACTTTGTTTCTATAGGTAAATACACATCTGAGTTGACAAATATGACATGTGGGGTACCTCAAGGCTCCATCTTGGGGCCTCTTCTCTTTAACATCTACATGATACCACTGGCTCAGATAATGAAAAACAACAAAATAAGTTACCATAGCTATGCGGATGACACACACATTTACGTAACAATTTCACCAGGAGACTATGCTCCAATTCAAACACTGAGTAAGTGCATTGAACAAATCAATGACTGGATGTGTCAGAACTTTCTCCAATTAAACAAAGATAAAACTGAGGTAATGGTTTTTGGAGCTAAGGCAGAACGTGTAAAAGTTAGCGCTGAGCTTCAGTCTGCAATGTTCAAAACAACAGATAAAGCCAGAAATCTAGGTGTAGTCATGGACTCTGACCTGAGTTTCAACAGTCACATTAAAACAGTTACTAAATCAGCCTACTATCACCTAAAGAATATATCTAGTAGGATTAAAAGACTAATGTCACAGCAGGATTTGGAAAAACTTGTCCATGCTTTTATCTTCAGTAGACTGGACTACTGCAATGGTGTCTTCACAGGTCTCACTAATAAATCTATTAGAAAGCTGCAGCTAATTCAGAACGCTGCTGCTCGAGTCCTCACTGACACTAAGAAAGTGGATCACATCACTCCTGTTTTGAAGTCTTTACACTGGCTTCCTGTGTGTCAAAGAATAGATTTCAAAATACTGCTGCTGGTTTATAAAGCTTTGAATGGTTTAGGCCCAAAATACATTTCTGACCTCCTGCTAAATTATGAACCATCCAGATCTCTCAGGTCTTCAGGGACTGGTCAGCTTTCTGTCCCCAGAGTCAGAACTAAACATGGAGAAGCAGCGTTCAGTTATTATGCTCCAAATATCTGGAACAAACTCCCTGAAAACTGCAGGTCCGCTGCAACTCTGACTACTTTTAAATCCAGGCTGAAGACTTTTCTTTTTGCCACTGCTTTTAATTGAACTATTCACATCTTAAACTACACTGTAACTTTTATCCATGTATTTTTTCTTTTAATGACTGATTTTAAATGCCATTTTCTTAATGTCTTTCGTTTTTTGTAAAGCACTTTGAATTGCCTTGTGTTGAAAAGTGCTATATAAATAAACTTGCCTTGCCTTGCCTAGATATAGGAAATATTTCGTGTAGCTCGAAATTTTGCTGAAATTTGGAAGAAAAATATTAATTGAATGTATGACATGTGCATACGGGTGTGTGTTTTTGTCCAGGGCCGGCATGGTGCCAAGTCGGAGCTGCCCCTCCATCACTCACGGCCCCCGGCTGACCAGTGTGCCCAGGACCCGACGGAGAGCTGTGCACATCTCCATCATGGAGGGTAAACCTCACTCTTAACCTAACCTCTAAAGAATAGACAAAAACTGTCATAAAATGCCTTTTTATATTAACATAAGTAAGCCTTTATCTGACACCCTTCATTATTCTGTAAATGTGTTCAATTTAAATTATTTAAGTGAAGTTTTTACACCACTAATAACTATATAGACTGAATATTAATTTGTATAAAAATGATTTTATACTATTCTATGCTAGTGTGTGGCATATCGTTTTTATTATTATTTGATATAGTTATACTTACTTTCTAACTAGTCCATGTGTTACAGTATATCTCAATATGTGGTGAACTTCTGGGGTACAATTTGGTTGGAAATCACTTGTGTGACTTGATCAACTATAGATTACACACCTAAGGCTCTTACACAATTTGTAATACACACACACACACACATTTCCTGTTCAGAAAAAGTAGCCTTTCCATGTGAGCGACCCCCCACTCGTGAGTGTCAGTCATTCTCTTCCCTTTGATGTTTATCTTGCACTCTTGATGCTCGCTTTCTGAAACACACACACTCAAGATCCTTGAGCCAGGGGCATTATTTTGACATCGGAAATTCAATCTGCGAGTTTATAAAGGGCACTTACGTCCCATCTTTCCTCCAACAGGCTATTAACCTTTAGCCAGAGCTGCCACTGTGAGTTTATTTCCTCTCAGTTGTAAGGCCTTTCTAAAACTAAATAAACTTGTAGCATAGTCTGTTTTCCTCAAAAAGGGTATTTTGTGAAACTAGCCCTCTCTTGTAGGCTCTGATATTGCACCCCTTTGTTGCAACACTGAAACAAACCCCCTGTGTTTGTCCTGTTGCTCTGTCTGCGCTGGCATTTCCACTTGTAATAATATCTCAGCCTGAAAATAGCTCCTGCTGTCAGGGGCCACGCCATGTGTGTCACGGCAGGGAGGGGCCGTGGTGAGCCACATTCCTGTTCCTTGTCTTTCACTCTGTCTTTCCATTTATCTTTATGCCTGCCAGCATGTGGGGGCTCTCTGTGGTGAGGGGGGGGGGGGGGGGGATCTTAGCTAGTCAGCCGCAGTCAATGACAAAGACACACAGCAGGAAGGTAGAGAGAGAGGAGGCTGTTTCAAGAGCGGAGAGAATAAAGAATAGAAGTACATCAGTAAGTTAGTCTCAGACCGGTGTTTTAGCTCCACTGGAACCATGGTGAAGTGTCTGATCCGGATCAAGACCAAGGTGAACGTTCACCTGCGCATGGTCAACCACTGTTATCGAGATATGAATGTGCGCGTGCTGTCTCTGGGACCCAGGCTCTTGGGTAAAGTTCTGGGGGTCCTCCCGCTCCTCCCCGCCCTCCCGGGGGATTCCTCCTCCTCAGGCTCTGCTCCCGGGTCAGGACAGAGCTCCAGGATGCCCTCCAGGCTCGCTGTCCCTCCACAACTCCATGGCTGCCACAGGCCAGCTAACGGTGCAGGTAACAAGAGGAAATGGTTTAGTCTTGCGGGATTATTGAGTGCTGCTCTTTTGGGGTTCTTCTTGTGGGTTCAAGGTGGAGAACTTCCTTGAAGAGAAGTTTTTGAGGAATTAACTAAATACTTCAGGGTTAAGCTCTGGATTTAAGGATAGAGTAGCAAGTTTTAAGTATTTCAAAAGGACAAAGAGGACAGCATCCATCACTGGAGCAAAAAACTAATATTGGTCCACTTCTAGCCACATACAAATGATAAAATAAAAGGTCAACAGAGCACAGTGTAGGAAATATTCCCAGCAAGCCAGGCTGAATCTCAAAGAGGCTGAGTGGATCTCTGCCTTAGGACTTGCGCCAGAATCGCTATTTTAAACCTCCTCTTTTACAGGTTTTCCTTTACATAGTCACACATTTGCTGCAGTGGCTTGTAGAACTTATACATTTCCCATAAACCGTATAAGGGCTGATGCCAGAATCTGTCTTTTAATGTGTTCTGCAACAATACCTCCCAGTTATTAAACATGTCTGACTCATTAACTTCCTTTGTGTTCAGGTCTGGAGTCCCTCCGAGACAGCGCCCACTCCACACCCGTGCGCTCCGTCTCCCATGGCGACTCCTTCATGTCTTCTCGAGGCAGCATGATGGACAGCAGCGAGGCGAGCACGTCGGCAGTCATCTCCGACGAGGCGTACAGCCCCTCAGACAGCATGCTCTCCACACCTGTGGCCGAACACGGGATGGAGAACCCTCTGAACCGCCACCTCAACGGGGCGCCCCGCAGCGTGGAGGACAAGGAGTCAGAGGCCGGAGCGTCGAAGGAGGGGCAGACCGCAGAGTTTTCATCCGGCAGGCGAGCGCTGCGTTTGGTGAAGAGCAGGCCGGCCCCACCCAGCGACGCGGAGGAGCTGAACAAGTTCATCCTGAGCGTGCTGCGGCTGTTCCTGGTCACCATCGGGCTGCTGTTCGCCCTGCTGCTGCTGCTCATCATGCTCACAGAGTCAGACCTGGACATTGCCTTCCTGAGAGACATCCGCAAGACACCTGAATTCCAGCAGTTCCACTTTGAATACTTTTGCCCTCTGCGGCGCTGGTTCGCCTGTAAGCTACGATGGATGGGAGGTTTCCTCATCAGCAAGTGAAGCAGAGACTGAAGGACAAAATACAGGCCTGCACTGATGGAGACGGGATATTTAATAGAGAGAGGAGAGAGGGGGGAGGGAAAAGGAAAAGAATGGCAGCCCTTTTCCCAATATCAACCCAGCTACTCTTATAAGGGAGTTACTGTCACAAGCCAAGGACTGTCCTCTGAAGAGCCTTGTTTATTATATCTGACCATCACTGCGAGGAAAGAAAATCACATTTTACTTTGGAAATTCAGGTCATTTCAAGGTATTTTATTTTTACACAAAGCCACAGTAACAGGGTTTCATTTAAAACACTGAACGTCTGACAGACTTCACTCATTCAACCACAGATATAGTTGCCTTTATTTTTCTATTCATTTATATCCTGCAACATTATTGTGAGACAGATTGACCTTTTGTGTTTGGGAGTGTGTTGGTAACCTGAGAGTTTGAGTGAAGTTTTTAGAGCCAGTCTAGCTCATCTTATTTATATATTTTAAAGCCAACCTTCATTAAGCTAGAATTTATAATTGTCACTGATCATTTAACCTTCTGTTTTGACTTGTATCTGGGGGTTAGAGAAAGTGTGAAATGGAAAACCTTGCAGCACGTACTGAATGTAGATCAGTCCTGAGTTAAATAATATTTGCAAAGAATATGATTGGCAACCGAGAAATACTAGCAGCAGCTATTTCACCCAGGAGTGACGTTGGTGCTGGTGATAATGTAAAGTAATAATGTGTCTAGTTTGTGGTCAGACGTCCAATAACGGTGTGCTCATGTTACCATTTCTGTCCAGCCACTAGAGCACCGATAACATTATCGTTCTATGACTATGATTTAAAGACAATTTGTAAGGATTTAAATAAGTATTGGAGGTGGTAGGTTGACTGATTTTATAAAATAGCAGCAAAAATAATAGCTACAATCAACTTCTGTGTGAAAGAAACAGTCGTCACATTGCTGTAGTTCCTTTACAGTAGTTGTGAGCTAGCGCTGTAGTGATAGTGAAATGTTTGGGTTAGTTCTTTGACTCCCTCACTCTGTAGAAGGAGTTTATCTTGATGTGCAATACTGTACATATTCATAAATAAAGAGTCTTTACATTTAGGGTAACTTTGTTTTACCTTTGTAAAAAAAATGCTTTTTCCCCACAGTATACGGTCAAGAGAGCTTATTTTTAGTTCATGTCGAGTGAGGGGTCAATTAACTTTGTTTAGCCATTGCTTCGTTCAAATGTATGCGTTTATCTGTAAAAGCTGAATATGATTAAGTCATGTTTCCATTTTTGTACAAACTCATGTCTCGTTAACACAGATTTCCTCACAGTGGCTTTTAATGGACTTGAAGCATTATTTTTTACTGTGGATGTATAGTTATCAACACTTACACGAGAGCCTAAGATAAGTCATGTTTACGTCCTACTGCTATCCTCATCATCGCACCTACCAAAGAAACCTCTGTTGTCTGATATTTGTCCGTTTGCACCAACAGATGGGAACTCTGATATCCTCTCTCCTTCTCCAGCCTTATTACGTATGTGTTATGTCACAAACTGCTTATTTACAGCCCAGAGCAATCTACAGCTTTATTTAAAACCTTACAGTTAACTAATGGTCCTTTCAACAAGTGGTAAATGATAGACTGGTGTATTATACCCTAATACAATAATGTTGTAGCTATGCAACAAGATCAATGGTTTAGGATACCGAGGGGTTTAGGATATGCAGGCAGTACAGTATTAATAATCAAATATTTCACAAAAAGATCCACAGGTTGGTAGTTAACACAAAATCAGTGCTTTGAGAATCCCTGTAGTATTAAATACATGGCTTTAAATGTTGATTTTATTTTTGTACAGCAGTGGCGAACCGTCAGGGCCTTCAAGGTATTCAGAGAATACCCTGCTCACTCAGATAAAACAAACAAAAAATCGATTTAATTATATAAATAAAATGTAGATAAATGAGAATTGTATCTGTGTTGTTGATCTGTAATATCACAGTGTTACGTTGATTTGTGTGTCCTTCTCGGACCATGCGCTACGCATTTCAGTGGTTTTGTGTTAGAAAAGAAAGCAACCAATCAGATCTTGTTCTGGGTCTCTGGGTAGAATATCCTTCAACAAGGTATTCTACATCCTTGATCGAAGGCCCTGGCCGTTGCACTTGTCACTACCCGATCTGCAGCTCTGCCCGATCTGCAGTGCGCATGTGCGAAATGGTCCGCCATATTGGACAACTCCGGACGGCAACCCAAGATGGACACTTGACACAGTGGCTTTTAGCAAAGCTCAAAAATAAAACGAGAGAGAGATGAGTTATTGTTAATACAACGTGACTTCACTATTATTTAACAACTCTTTTTATGGGGTTCTTTTATTTGGGGTTAAGTACATTGTCAGAATAAGTGAGAAATGAATTTAACTTCTGTTAGACAGCTATCATACTGAATACATATTTACTGTGAATGTGTGCAAAAATGTATGGCATATGGCTGTCTAACAGAAGTTCAATCAATTTCTCACTTATTCTGACAATGTACTTAACCCCAAATAAAAGAACCCAATAAAAAGAGTTGTTAAATAATAGTGAAGTCACGTTGTAATAACAATAACTCATCTCTCTCGAGTTTTCCTTTTGAGCTTTGCCAAAAGCCACTGTGTCAATGTTGTCCTACTTGGGTTGCTGTCCGGAGTTGTCCAATATGGCGGACCATCTCGCACATGCGCACTGCAGATCGGGCAGAGCTGCAGATCGGGTAGTGACAGCACTGAATGAGAGCGTACGTTTGGACTGACAGTTTGATCAACCAATCATATATTGATTTGTAGCCAATGGGCGTATTCTTTCAGAGTTCCCCTCGGTTCCAGGGTATTCTAGAAGGCCCGCTAGTTAACTGGCTCGAGACAGAGGATTCTAGATGAATGCGACGAAGCAAATCATGCCGTTTTATTGTTTTTAACGTTGACAAGTGCAACAGGTGAAGAGGAAGTTGTTGCGGAATTGTTGTGAGTACCCTTTTCAAGACGACAATTCAGTGAAAAAACGGACATTATAATGCCGCGGAGGGGGGAGGGGGGGAGGCGGCGGGGTGTGTTGTGGTGTGTTGTGGTCCAGAAGGTCCAGTTGTGATAGACACGGTTCGCCACTGTTGTACAGTATATGACATTTTAAAATTAAGGGAAAGTTGTGGAAGTAGTATTAATTATGTGTTTGGGTGAGTTTGACAGAAATATTGACTAATATATTTAATAGAACACGTTTTTTGTTCAGCCTTTATTAGTTATTTATGTGTTTTCTTTAACTCAGAAGGTGCTCGCTGATGTTTGATTGTGTATGGTGAAAGGCAAGTCGAGGCAGAACATGTGTTTTTACTGAGTATCATTTGTACTTTAAGGTCTCATTTTATGTTCATGTGTATGAAAAACTTAATTTGAGCAATAAATATAACAGATAATATAATGATCAACAACCATGAAACTGCAAATGTATACTGCTATTGGAAATGTGTTTTGAATCCCCTAAGTAGGTGACCAGCCTGTAGATGCATGTGTGAGGGAATGATGCCCACTGTTCATGATGACACAGACGTAGGTAACGTATTCATGTAAATCCTGTCTGATCGTTGCCTAATCACTGCTCTTCCTTGACTCATTTTAGAGAAACAGAGTAGATGCAAATATGATTGTGAAAGTATGTGTAAATGAACTGACAAAAAACGAATTGTTTCTTGACTATGAAAAGGATTTGGCAAAATGGAAGTGGAGCGATTTGTATTTTTAGCTCATTTAAAAATAGCAGAAGTAGCATAGTCAACTACCTGAATATTTTTTTATTGTAACGCAGTTTAATACATTGATTTTTTTATTGTTTTTGCTTAAATGTTTAAAAGAACTTGAACTAACAAAGTGGGGGCCCTTTGACAAGCAACGCTAGTATTTATTTACCCGAGTCATGTAAACAGGAACAAGGCGTCTGATGTGGTTTAACTGTAAGCTTCCTTCCTGTACCGTGTTCCTGCACATGGAAATGTCTATGTAAGCATGTGTTCTGCATTTATTACCTCCAAACAAGGCTGCTCATTTCCAATCACTGAAATAAGACTGGTGTAATTTATTTTTGAATAAATGTAATCTGTTCTTGAAATCTGTCAGCTAGTGCAGCTTCAAGTTTGATCTACAATTCACAGCAGAAACAAACCTCCAAAATCAGTGGGTGTTTCTCAATGTCGAGGAAAGGCTGCTCCAGAGCCACTATTTCAAGCATACTAGATCATCGAGTGCCGCTGAAGGACTGTTCCAATGTCCAGCATACTTAGAATTGTACCGGGGGCAGCCTACTTCGTAGCGAGACATTCGAGGCTGCACATGTGTAGACATGTAGACTCCGCGGTCTTAAAATCCCCACAATGCTTTGGGCACGGATCAATTTCCAAATCTTTGGCGGAAATCGCGCTCCATTTAAGGCAGGGCCTCGCATATGACGCACACCTGTTAGCCTGTTCCACCATTCTTCGTTTTCCGAGGCTAGGAAGGATTCTATGAAGGTAGATATGGTGCAAAATGCGAGAGCGTGTAAAACCTGATGTGAGCACTTTATGGGCATAAATATGTCTCATAATTATTTGTGTGAACATAAAAATAATTTGTGTGTAAATATGTGATTTGTAAATGCAAAACACCATCCACAAATGTGTTTAAAAGATTTGCAAACTCACAAATAAATGTGCAAGTGTAAAACGGATCTGCAAATACGCTAAATATTTTCACAAATAAAAAAAAGATCTGTGAATATCTCTTTAACATTTACAACTTTCGATCAGGCATTTGTGAATCCATTTTGTATTTGTCGACCAAAAATGCGTTTGCGGATCTCAAATCTCTGTTCGCGGATCTCACATTTCTGCTTGTGGATCGTCTTTTTACACACACAGAATTTTGAGACATATTTTCCGCCGGTCTCCGCTAAAATCTACTCGTGTCACTCGGTTATTTTCGGAAACCATGTGATGGCCTGCTGATGACGATATTTCCGCATGATTTCAAAGTAAGAGCATGATGGTTTGTTTAATGCTCTGTTTTTTTTTTATTATAATGAACAGCGGAACGTTAGATGCATTCTTTATCACCATCATTTGCACCATATTCATAGGATTCTTGCCTCACTTCTGAAGCAAGTGAATCGGAAGACATGTGCTACCAAGCAAGCGTCCTCGACATTGAGACACCCATCCTAGCCTAGGAAAACGAAGAATTGTGGAACAGGTTAACAGGTGTGAGTCATATGCGAGGCCCTGCCTTAAAATGGAGAGCGATTTTGGCCAAAGATTTGGAAATTGGTCCGTGTGCAAAGCATTGTGGGGATTTTATGACCGCGGAGTCTACACATGTGCAGCCTCGAAATGTCCCGCTACGAAGTACGCCGGCCTCGGTAGAATTCCAAGTATGCTGGACATTGGAACAGTCCTTCGGCAGCACTCAATGACGTAGTATGCTTGAAATAGTGGCTCTAGAGCAGCCTTCCTTGACATTGAGAAACACCCAATGCCTTCACCAGTGTCTCAGACCCCGGCCACACGAGGACGAAAACGGCTAAACGCATAGGATTAACGCAAACGCAATCGCAAACAAGCTTCCGTCCACACGCAATAGTTATCCGGATAGTGTCTGCCCACACGAGACCGCTCCGTTTAGCTCCAACCGCTGGAGAAGCTGCAGTACATATGCAGGAGCCTGTACGTGGCGCTGTAACTTCCTCCACAAAAGCAGCGAAGAAGCATGGTTGTCATGGTTGCCCTTCTGTTTATTCTCCGCGGTGGGGGCCGAGGGAACCGGGCAGAGTTTTTCGCCAGTCAACGTGTATTAAAGTTTAAATCTTCCGACAAAATTATAAAAGTGCCGGTCAAAGGTCTTCTTTGTTATTTATTGAGCTTTAAAACAAATGAATAACGACTCTATATAATATAATAATAAAAATACACGGAGCCTCTCTTTTTCCACCCTCTCTTCGGACAGCGCCAGTGTCTGTTTCATGCAGCAGCTGATCCAGTAATGAGTGACTCGGCCGACAGTAAAAATAAACATATTTATAACTAGTTTAGGTAGTTTG